AGTTTTCTCCACTATAGCAGAGGTCACCAACCCCCCCCCGGTCTACGGCCCGGTGCTGATCCGTGGCCTGAGACAGATCTCCCCCCCACCCCTGCATGCACTCCCCCTGCACAGCCCATCTGCAAATGCACGCGCATGCCTGCACCCACATGAGCACTCCCTCACCCCTGCGTGCCCCCGCACGATCGCCTCCGCTCCTTTGCGCATGCACACGAGCACGCCCATGCGCGAGAGAGAGCACGCTCCTTCGTGCATGTGCATGAGCACAGGGGGTGCCCCGCCTTCCCCAGCCGGTCTGTGGGACTGAAAAGATTGGGGACCACTGCGCTATAGAATGCAATCTCCAACAACAGGCTGTAATATGTATCAGAACAATTCAGAACATGCCAGGACCAGTGGGAGTTTGCTGCTCAATCTTCACTGGCTGATTCCCAGAGCAATGGAGAGATTTGAAATCATGACAAAAACTATCAAAATTGTCTAAGAAAACATTGATCAAAGCTAAGAAAGCAAGGGTTGATCTACACCTAGCTATCCTGGACAATCTGGATGGGTGGGCAGCAGATGAGCATGGAGTTAGGCTGAAGGGCAAAGACTATATGGTCATTGTGGGATAACGTATTGCAGCCGGAACGCTGCAACAGATAAGATGGACTAAAAGCAGAAGAGAAATCAAGACAGGTAGATTAATACAACAGTTCAGCTAAAGCCTTGCCCAACTTGCATATGGGTAAGGAGGCTTGGGCATAGCCTGCAGAGTGCCAGAAGAGGAGCATAGAAAATATGAGGTCCAAAATCAAGAGGTCACATACTAATTTCAGATGTTGACTCAGTAGGGGCAAGTCCTGGGAAGAGACTAAAAGCACTTTAGCGCAACAGGCAGCCTGTAGCAGACTCAAAGCTAGCAGAAGAAGATGAAGGAAGCCAACTTTATGGGGCAGAAAAAGCCACTACAAAAGCTGGCTGCCAGTCTGGAGAGTGTCTAGATTCTCTTGTCCAAATGAATGTGACACTGCCCAGCTTATGGTGATTGTTTTTATGTCACATATTTCAATCAGTGCCAGGGGGAAAAAAATCATCTTTATGAATGTTAGAAGTGATTGGGTGGAACTCAGTTTACACTCAAGAAGATGCATGTCTTTCCAAGGGGAGAAGACAGAAAGGGGCCTCCTCAGGTTTCCTAGATTGTCCTTTATTGGTATTGACCTGTGCAAACCATCTCTCAACTTAGTTTCTATTTTAGGGTTGCTGATGTTATTTCCTTTCTTCTCAGACTTTTCCTTTTGTCCCTCCGAGCAGGAGACATCTTCATAGAATCATAGTATCGAAGAGTAGTGAAGTTGGAAGAGGGCTATAAGGCCATCAAGTCCAGCCCCCAGCTTGGTGCAGGAATACAAATCAAAGGATATCTGCCAGGTGGTTGTTTATGTTTCTCTTGAATGCCTCCAGTGTTGGAGCATTCACCACCTGTCGAGATAGTTGGTTCTGCTGTCTTACTGCTCTAACTGGAAGATTTTCCTGATATTCAGTCGAAATCTGGCTTCCTGTAACTTGAGCCCATTGTTGTGTGTCCTGCACTCTGGGATGATCAAGAATAGATCCTGCCCCTGTATGACAGCCTTTCAAATATTTTAAAAATGTTATGATATCACCCCTCTGTCTACTTTTCTCAAGGCTAAACATGCCCAATTCTTTCAGTCTTTCCTCACGGGGCTTGGTTTCCAGCCCCCTGACCATCCTTGTTGCCCTTTTCTGATCGCGTTCCAATTTATTAGCATCCTTCTTGAAGGGTAGTGTCCAGAACTGGACACAATATTCAAGGTGAGGCCTAAGCAGTGCTGAATAAACGGTAACTAGCACATTGTGGGATTTGGAAACTATACTTCAGTTAATGCAGCCTAAAATGACATTTGCCTTTTTTGTAGACACATCACTTTGTTGGCCCATATTCGGCTTGTGATCTACAACAATTCCAAGATCCTTCTCGCTTGTAGTATTGCTGAGCCAGGTATTCCCCATCTTGTAACTGTGCAATTGGTTTCTTTTTCTAAGGTGTCCTTCATCTCCTGACATGAAAGGGACAGCCTTAACTCCTGATATCTCCAGCATAGTTAGCCAGAGTACACAAGGGCTGGGAAAAACCCACAGGCCCGTAGTAGTAACCTAGAGGTCGCAAACGCCTTTTGGGTCTCCCTGTATCCTTTTGGCTTGTTGCGGGGATCAGGTTTTCTTTGTCCTCCATCTCCTTTAAGACACACCGATCTCTGCAAAGAGCTACAAGCTATGCAGAATGGCCCCCAAACCACCTCCGTGGCTTTTCAGTAACCGCTGTGGGCTTGCCTAAGGGCATGCCGAGACATGGCACACCCCTTTCTAACCAAACACCCACACCCACCCCTCCAATCGCTCCCCATTGGACTATAGGGGCTGCCTGATGTTTTGTATAATTACACGTTGTCTTTAAGTTGCAAGTTTTTTTCAAAAATGTATAGTCCTTATGAGTGTTGTCTATTTTGTGTGTTATGTGGGAAATGTTTTACTTTGGACAGTCTTAAAACAGTTTTACTAAAATGTGGGTTTTTATTTTTTTGTTGTACTCTTCAATTATTGCAGGTTTCTACTGCAAAGAAAGGTCAACACCGGAGAACTCTCCAAAAATGCAGCTATGGGACTTTCTGAGTGGCTAAGGCCTGTTCAGGCATGCCTTATGACCATC